TTCCAATTCTTGTCAATTCCAATTCCAATTCTAGTCAATTCTTGTCAATTCCAATTCCAATTCTGGTCAATTCTTGTCAATTCCAATTCCAATTCTAGTCAATTCTTGTCAATTCCAATTCCAATTCCGGTCAATTCCATCAATTCTCGGAATTGGAACCGACTCGAATTGGAATTGGTGCATGCCTATTAACAATCAAGGCCGACATTCTTCTAGTCTGAGGTTACTCCCATATTTTTGGCTCACAAGGGAACGTTCCTAAGTACTCTCCTCATTTTTTGTTGAAACGTGATCGATTATAGGTAGACTTGGATGGTGATCACGAATTTGTGATTGAAATGAGTTTTCACTGAGATATGAAATTTTACTATTTATTTCCTTGAGTATATTAAATTTCAGTATTTTATACGGTATCAGAGTTGGTTCATTTCAAATTCCTAGATCTTCGAATATTTTCATTCCAAGGACTCCTTCAAGAAAAGCATGGTGTCGAAAACGGATACCAGCTTCGTGATCACCATCAAAAACTAGCCATAATCAGCCATGTTTCGGCAAAAAATGTGAGGACACCTGGAATGCTCCCTTGTCAGAGCTGTCATAATCCTAATTTCATCAGGATTCTAAACTATCATAAATCGAGAATTCAAAATTCTTTGAATTTCAAATCCTCAGAATTCTGAGTTGGGTTCAATTTGAAATTTCTCGCAATTTTGGAGATATTTCGAAGTTTGGGACGGATGTTGTTACAGTTTTCATTACACATTAGAGATGCGCACTAGGTTATAATTCGAGCCGTCGGTGAACATCTCTAAACAAAATCTTTGGAAAAACCCACATTAGAAATCAAGTTTTTGTGGGGTCCTTATTATGGTGGAATCAAAATGAAAACACAGAACAGGAATAGCATTGAGCAGAAAGATTTCAACTCAGTCTCACGAATTTAAAAGATGATTTATAAAAGAGGCTGAGCGGCCTACAACCCGGATCTCGAAACGAAAGACAGTGAATAGTTTTCGTGCAAGTCCCATAATGAAAAAACAGTTTTAAAAAGTTTTTTGAGACTGGGATCAGACAGGATTTGCACTGAAAAAGTATGATTCCACAGAACTCTAGTCTTGAAACTCATTTCGTGAAGGACATTTGGCTCTATATTATGGTATGTCTAACTCTGTTCGAAAAACCGACAAATAAAGAGAAAGAAAAAAGTATCCATAAACTAAATTCATATCCAACAAGATCAGAGAAAAATGTTATAAAATAGAATACACACATTTTTTAATATTATTGATTCTGGTTTAACATTGAGCATTTCTTGTAAATCACCAATGGATTCCAACCATATAGATTCAACAAGTTGACAAACACTATCAACTAATGTTTGTGTATCAATTTTATGACTCCACAACAGCTAAAAGATAGAAATTCAGCGTATAATCGATATAAATATTTTGTTCAAATACATACACGTAGAAGAAGTTTAGAACCAATTTTATTTGGTAACATATCTTTTATTCTTGCTATTCGAGGCATTGTCGCAATTCGATTATAATAGGATAAAAACAATTGCTGTTGTTCATTAACATCATCAGTAAACATATATTGAATACATACATTATTTGTTTCATTTTTATTCTAAATATATACACACACAAAATCACCACCTTGGAGTTCTAATGTGCGATATAAGAAAATCTCGTACCTGGACATCCGTAGTTGCCTGTTTTTCATAACGAAACCTGATTCGATAATCGCTCGTCGTAAATTGAAAATAATTATTTGGTATAACTTGAATTTCAAGTACAAAATAAACATATGAATAATCGTTTGTTTCCTAGAATAAAAACAAAAATTATTCCATCAATTTCTTTCTTCAGATAAGTTAAAAGAAACCCGTACTTTAAATATAGCCCATTTAGCCACTTCTGCATTTTCTTCGTCAAATTTTGGCAAATTACTATCATCATAATTCCAAACTTTTATTTTACTTGTATTAATGTTCAGTTTTGTAACTGAACTACTAGATTGCGCTGTGCTGCCTAAATATGAATAAAAAACAAATGAAAGTCTTCATATAACAATTTAAAAAAGAAATGAATGGACTTCTCTTCAAATCATATCGGTGACTAGCTGTATAGACTTCGTCAAATAGAAAGGCAGTCGTCACCGTCTATTATGACTTAACAAATCGTCTACTTTTTCATCGAAATCCTGAAGGATATCTCAGCCAGTTTTGATCTAGGCTGGCGTTGTATTACGGCACGGCCTTCTATTCGGCAAGGATATGCAAGTACAATGCTGATGGTCGAGCTAACCCCTTTCCTTTTTTCGTCTAACATAAAAAGTTGAACCTTCACTCTTATGAAACATCGTGCAAGTGAGACGTTAATTTAAGAACATTTTCAAGTCCTTGTCAAATTATCAAGATTTGATACGTTTTGGCTTTGTACTAATTATACTGGTCAAGATAATTGATATTATAAGATCTTAAGACAATATGTCAACTCTCAAGGTCTCAAACAGGAATTAAACACCTTGGATACAAGATTGTCAAGATCATCTTTTGTCTTGACACCTTTTAAGAAGAGCCTGAAGATCCTGATGTTAGGTACAAAAATTTCCAAGATCGTTCTTAAAAATTTTAAGATATTAAAATATTGCTTGAAAGATGCTTCACTAAGAATTAATTGCCTCAACATGGCGGATTAATATGTCATTGTGAACTGTTCGGCGTTATCGAGTCTTCTTTCTGCTAAAAATTGAGAAAAATGGCAAGCCTTAGTATTCAATGTACTACCATTCGTAGCGTCATCAATATGGATACATTTCATTCACATAATTACTTTTTAGTTAAAAAGATTCATGACCTCTGAACTGACTCATCTAGGGCTAGGATCAGTGCTATCAATAGTACTATGCCAAATGATCTTAATGAAAACAAGGTCACACTGTTCAAGATTTACATCAAAGATGGCTCTTACATTTAATAGGTATATTTCCATTTTTGAAATTTTCTTTATCTTCTGGTGATGTTACAATAAACGAGTTTGGATCAATTACTTTATCTGGATTTTGTTGACATTCATAAATGTAGTTAATATTTAATGACGGTATACCAAGTTTTTTGGCGCGAAGAGTTTTGTACGTATCCATTTCACGTTTTACTAATAGATAATCCGTCTAAAAAGCGCCTAGATGTCAATACATTTTGGCTAAAAGTAGTATACAGTGTAGAGCTTTTTTGTTTACTTAATTACTTACACTAGCTGTTAGAACAGATGCTATTTTAGCATTTTGTTCACGCAGATAGTTAATAAGTTGGGTTTTTTCTTTGAAACGTAGATCCAATTGATCAAGAACAAACGTCAAACCATTTAATGGAAACTGCATGGTTGTGATAATAATACTTTATCGAGTACTAAAAAATTCAAAGTACAGAAGAAGAAACATTATAATAATATATGAACTCCATTAACTAAATGTATAATAAGCTCAGATCAGATTAGAACGCACATTCACGCATTTAGGCGAGGGGCTGTAGTAATTTCCTTTGGGAATGCTTCCTCTTTTCGACTATCGGAGCTGATGAACTCAAATACAGACCACATAAAATTTTAAAATGACTTAATTAATTTAGTTAGTAGTAACCGGAAAGTTTTCTATCACGTTGCACAAAACTTCTCAGGTAATTTTGCATCCCAAAACAGAAAAAACGAAGCTAGCAACGGGTACTTGCAGCTTGATTAAAAGTACATTTATCTAGCTTCAACTAAATAAACGAAAATTTCATATGGCTGTAGCTAGATTCAATTTAGCTACAATGTGGTGCAGGTGGCTGCTGTCGATTAATTGAACAATGAAGTAACGCCCAATTAATCGATAGATGCAGTGCCCGTTTCCAGCTAGAGCAGGATTTCTTGCAACTAGATCCCCTCACTTACCGATTTTTTGCTTGGGGAGCATAGGCGTTAACTGCAGAAAATAATAAAATTATATTTAATCTCGTTCTATTACAAGAAAAAAAGAGCTATTTGTTGTGATGATTCATAGAGAACAAAAAATGAATCGTATCCACCTACATACACTTCAATGTCGTCGAAGAAAGAGAACACATAGGTAAAACAAAAAAAATGCGACTGTAGTTATACAAATTTTCTCAATTACAAACAAGGAATATTTTTACGCACCAGTACCTGACAGATGAACACATTTTATCATTTAACAGCAAATAAACACGAGTACACGAATAATCTACCAAGAATATTTATGTAATTGAGAAAAGTTGTGCAATAGTCCTAGAATTCTTTTTTAGGGATTAATAAATCCTATCCAAAAATAGTCAACGATATCCAAATTCAGGATCATCGGCAAAAAAAACGTTCTTCTATGAAGTTTATTGAGAATATACAGTCCACGTAATTTATGTTCTGCAACAGACAAACCACATGAAATATTTGTCCCATACTACCAAGTAGCCGACACTGAAAACATATTTATTTGTATGGCAACTCGTCGACTATTATCAACATGTAAACATTCGTCTGTACTAGCTGTTTGTAGAACGTACAAAGTTGCGTCAAATAATTTACCATTGATTGTATTTGGCTTTATCAAAAGAGTAAACGATTATTCAAGTTGATCCGCATAATTAGAATACTTTTTGTGTACGATTTCTACGTAATAAAACACAAGTTTGTTACAGATGTTTATCTTTCCTAAATGTCGAAAATGCTTTTCTTTTAAGTATCGAGATCTTTTGTACTTTTTTGTTATTAAAATTTTATCATACGGGCTTAATTATGCCATTTTTCTGGTCAAAATATTACTGTCCTATTTATAATATTACATTTACATAATAATACGGTTAAAACAAATACGTCCGAAAAAGGTTCAGCCATATCGAAGTTTTTCGATGAATGATGTGTAGAGACTGTAGAAATTGAAAAAATATTTCTATGAACAGATGATAAGGTTATACAAGAACAACCACGCCAGCTACATTCAAATATAGTATATCTGATACAAAACCAACAAAGCGAGGATTCAAGATATGAGCTAAATATGAAGCATCTAATTTTGTTTATGAAGTAGTTTATAACAACTCGTACAAATATATGACTTGTACCATCCACATGTACAATAACAACAGTAGCCACGCATAACAATGAAACTGTGAAAAAGTAAAACAACATGCACAACAAACAGATTTTGACAAATCAAAGGTGGTTGCTGTGGACTTTCATGAAAAAAGTAAGCTCATTCAAATAGATTTGCGGATGGTCTTTTTTCATTCGCAAATCTTTTCAATCAAAATAGTGACTGAAGTTGATTATGGCTGAACCAGTTGAGAACCATCAGACGCACACAGACGAGCTAATTCTCCATGCCCGACGAAGCTCCTGTTATTAACACAGTTTGATTTGAATTTGGCATAACTGATGTTTTATATCTGAAGACAAATAGTAACAATAATAAACACGCTTTCCGTTCCTTCATATTATACCTGTTCGGTCGCATACCTTTATTTCGATAATAAAAAATGTGACTAGAAACATGAGCGCTAAGCCAGCAATGTAAAGGTATATGTAAATATACAATCCAAAGGTGAGTAAACGCTACAATATATACTCTCTAAGAGAGATCTAGAAAAATGTGATGAATATGAAAGCGAGAGAGAAAAAATTGATGTATATAGATGATTCTTCTCGTTTCTGTTTCTTTTTTATTGAACGTTACCCCCTGAATCGAACTTCTTTTCCTGACACAACGATTAGAGGAACCGATCTAACAGGGTTATCGGGACTTGGAATATCTAAAGCGACACAAAGAGACTTTCTGATTGATAACCGATATTCAATAGGGTTTCGATCAATTAATCTTCAGCTATTCCAATGAATTGTATGTCCGGTCCCTTTAGTGTTTATGGATAGCTGCTTTCGTACATATTAACATTTTAAGCTCAGAGATTTCATGACCTGTACACTCACCGGATTTGCTCATTGCGTTAATTTGCTCTGTTATACAGCTAACTGCATTTATTTTTGCAGTTTTTGGCACTTCTACAGATCAATCACAGCCCTATGTAGCGGATGAATATAATAGGTATAATTCCCTTGACTTTAGTCTAGGGTCTTACAAAATGGTTGTCTGTGTGTTTGTGTTTGTGTGTGCGCAAAATACGGAAAAATGGCTGTCAGATATTCTATGGATAAGCGAATCACAAGAGACAACAGTAGATAATTATGTTTTACATAAGAGAGAAAATAATCAAAGAGATCATCTGAAATATTTACTGATGCAAAGACGTAAACAGCTCAGCAACCGTTTTCTGTGGGCCGGGAGTAGATGTCGCCAGATAGCAGTCAACTGTGACAATACAAAAAAAGTGCTCTACGGGTAATAAAATTGAGAGTGTATAGATAATCTATTATAACGAATCGATCAGAAATACTTCCAATCTCCTTGGGGTCTGCAGAGGGTGTGCAGAAAACCTTTTAAGTTTATATTACATTAGATGGTTTTTTGGTGGAATCACAGAAGTTCATAGCGTTTCTGATCTATACTGGTTGCGGACGCCGACAGAAGGGAAGCGTGAGCATTTTGAATTCAGAAGTAGTTTTAGACCTTTTGAGATTTTTGCTCTATTTATATTAGTTTACGAACCTTACACATGAAAACAGAAAAAAATCCAGAAGATATCTTAGGTAGGTTTCCAGCGAGCGCCGACCGAAGGGAGGCGTGAGCATTGTTTTTAATTCAGAATTATGTTTAGACTTCTAGAGATTCTTGGTTTATATATTAATATCAGACTACGAACCTCATACATAAAAAATGAACAAAACTCCAGAAGATGCCTTAGTTAGGCCCCCAGCGAGCGCCGAACGAAGGGAGGCATGAGGATTGTGTTCGATTTAAAAGTCACCAAAGGACGTGCGCTTGTGCATATCCAACTTAATAAAGTCAAGGGACCGAGCGAGTGGAGACGAGCGTTACCTTGTAATAACAGAGCAGGAAAAAAACTATTAGTTGAAAATATATATCCTTGGATAAATAGTATGAGCTATAATAAACGCGAATAATAGATGACACTAGTTATAGAAAGCTGTAATAGATAACACTAACAGAGTCTGATTAATTAAAGGATAATCAAATAAAACGATGCATAATTTGTTCACAAATTAAATTGAATAATTCTCTGAGCACCTAAAGAAATATGGTATTAACACTATAATATGGAAAAGCACCCTTTAACGCTGCATCTGTTCCATAACTCTAAACATGTCCGTTTTCCATTACCGTCTGTCGATCAAATGACACTGCGTGATTGGAACAGCGTTACGGGTGGCGCCAAACCAGTGGATATTCGGCGGTCGATGATCAATTTAACGAACGGATGTTGATTATTGCAAGCGGGTTTCTCAAACGACAACCATTATTTAATCATGAAGATCGGCTTAAATCGATTCTGTAGCTATCGAAATTTACATTGATGTGGTACGTGGTGCTATTAATTATGTACAAATTATTATTCGTCAATATTATATATTATTTATTGATTTGAATGAAACCACGTATGTATTGTTTTCTTTTTGCTCACATTCTTGTTGTATTAGGTGACTTTCTTAGACTATAAAAAAGTGTTATATGAATTGCAATAATCAATTCTTTCATATTAACATGATCGAATTTCAGCTCATTAAAGAATATTAATAACATAAACATCTATAATACAAAAATTTTCGTCAAAATAACAAAATCGTTATTTATATCTTCAAAGACATCGATCGACATACGAAAAATGGAATCTTTATGTGAGTTAAGAACTTTTAACAAAGACAGAACAATAATCTTCGAAACTTTCCGTCTCCATTAGAGCCTGATGGGGGCCTTGGGGTGTTTAGGTAATTGGTCACATGGCGGTGTTTTAATTATGTTTAAAAAACATTTCCATTTAAACGACTCCAGTACGGAGCTTAGAGGATGTATTGTTTGTGCTAAACTGGATGTGAATAATATCCCACTTGATTTGGTCGGTGTATATGCACCTAGTGATCTGGACGAAAGAAAATCTTTCTTTCTTCAATTACATCCATTTCTTCCATCTAGCAGATGGACATTAGTGGGAGGTGACTTTAATTGCCTATCTGACTCTGTACGTGACAGACATAATGCAGGTACATATACCAATAATAAATCTTTTCCGATTTTATTACACGAAGTAATCACACCTCTACAATTATATGAACTATATCGCTCTAAACACCCTCGTACTACAGTTTATTCTTTTCATGCATTAAAAACCGACTTTCATAGTAGGACAGATATGTTCTTTGGTACAAAATCTATAAGAAATATTACAGAGAACATCTCATATGAACCAATTGAACTATCTGATCATGATAGTTTAAAAATTCTACTTAATATATCATCTCCCGTATCATATGGTAGATGGATATGTAATGTTAATGTATTTTCTAGACAAACGTTTATGGACCGTTTTCATGAAATTTGGAAGATTTTTCTTTCTACTGCTGATTTTAATTCTATAGACTGGTGGTTGGACTTTAAAACCAGTCTTACACTCTTGTTACAAGACGAAGCTAAAGAATTGTTTAGGGAAAGCAGATTAAAAGTAAAATTATTACAAAAACAATACCGTCTTTTAGCTGAAATCCTTCACCGGGCGATTTCATTGAGATGGATAGAATCCATACAAACATACGTCAGCTTCTAGAAAAGAAAACAGAAGTGAATCTGTCTGGAATGTATGAAAAAGCTGCTGATGTGCTAGGCACCGCAGCTAAAATGAAGTTATCTAATAGCCAATCTAACCAGTCATTTATTTCATTTCTACTACATCCAACAAAAGGTAGTGTTAGCGCGATACCTGATATATTAGACGTAGCAACTAAATTTTATAAAGATTTGTATTCACCAAAATCCAATCATACATCAATATGGAATGATCTTTTTGAAGGTCTTCCTAAATTATCTGATAACGATCGGGATGTCATGGAAGGTGAAATTACAGCTACTAAATGTATGACAGCTTTAAAAGAAATGAAAATACGTAAAAGCCCTGGTGAGGATGGTATAACGGTTGAAGTATGGAAAGAGATCTTCCCTATAATAGGAGGTCATTATACACAAATGTTAAATGTATCGTTTAAACGTAATTGTCTTAAAAGTGGCTTTCTTAGAGTCATTCTAACATTGTTAAAAAAAGAAGGTTCACCTGAAGGTTCTATGAATATCAGATTCTATACAATATCGGAATTCTTAAATTCGTGGCAGCTCGGGGCAAAGGAGCTACGCGTAGGGTCATTTTTTTGTTATACCAAACTTCTGTCCTCTCTCATATCCGTTACTCAAGTATATTGACGCCTTTGCTCTCGGCTACTAGTTGTCACGAATCAGATTCCATCCAATTTCAATCATTAAAAATACTAATTTAGTTTCCATTTATATCACTAAAATCCATGCTATAGACATCCTACAACTGCCTCACTGGAAGGATTTGGCGCATATAATGCTTCTTAAATTTATCTTTTCTCTGCAATTTCTTCCTCATGTCGTATCGGTTTTTTCCTTCTTTGAGAAACGTAAAGTCCTTCAACATACCTAATCCACAAGTTTTCTCGTTCTCATGGTTTTAATTTAACAAATAATCTTGTAGAGCGATTGTTCCTAAATAGAACCACTTTTTGACTAGTGAAAAGTTTTTAATTCCTGCTCAGAAATTTCTTGGACAACATACATTAGTTTTTATATTACAAAGTGTAAAATCATCTCACGAGTTCAATGATGTAAAAATTTTCTACTTATCATCAAAACTGAGTGAGTTCTAACCGGCAGTTTGATGATGAGTCGTCTGGTTCGAATCAGGAGTACTGTTCCTAATTCGAACCAGCCAGCAGCCAGCGCAGAACAAGCAAAAACAGCAAAATTTCAGAAAACTGCTGGTTCTTGCTACCCGAATGTTAGATTTTCAATATACTCTTGTAACAAAAAATGTTCGCCACATCAAACCGAGTATAATTACAGCGGTTCAGCCATTAATTTCATTTCTATGCAGAGATATTAAATTATCTTTAGACATGTCTCTGGTTCGAATTAGGAACAATGTTCCTAATTCGAACCACTACACACAAAATGGCTAGAAAAACGAGTCCTAGTCAGAAAACAGAGTCTTCTTGCTACCCGAAGTTCGGAATCGGACTGTAACCGTGGAACAAAAGTTATTCATCAGAGAATAAGCTACAGTCTCATAGCGGTTGAGCCTTAACCAATAAAGTTTTACCTAGAGCTTTTAACAAAGACTTTTTCAAATGATTTTCTCATCTTATAGGGTAAATAATAAAGTGAAGGAAGTGATCGAAGAACCTAGAATAAGCTGCATATATATTCAGACCTTACTACATTATCTAATTCAGTCTTTAAACGGGAGTAGCCGATCTGTATTTGTTAAACAGCGACAATATGGCCTACATAGCTATTGTATTATTCTTGCTTTTAGATACTCGGAAGAGACTTCTGAATAACGAAAATATATGACCGGTCAACCAACTGGCCCGACCGGGTCAGAAATTTTTAGACCTTTTCCAGGACCGGTCGAGAAAATCTTGACCGGTTACATCTATGCTATGTAGGCTACAATCATTGAAGTTACTACTTTCTGTCTGGCAGGGTAACAGAAAAGACAGACGTTTGTTAAAAGACCAGTAGAGAAGATTGGTACATAACTTTGTTTTTTATCATTCGAATGACGATTTCAAAGTTCAATAACAAGATCTTGGTTTTTCGTAAACTACTTTCTTCTTTTCTCCGCATCATTTACCTCAGAGGTCAACAAAAAACTATGATATACTTTAGAGATCAGTCATACTGCTTAAAATTTTCTGTGATTTGACTTGCATCAATTTTCAAAAATTCTTACAATAAAAAAGAATATTTTCTTTTCAGTAGTTCCAGTAGTTCACTAGCAGTGTCCGTATCGAACATATTACAGAACTCTAATGCATATTCCTCCCGTAAATAAATAGCATCTTGTAGTACATCGTGTATAATCTAAATATAGAAAGAACAACATCGATTGATGGCTTTTAATACTCTCATAGAACATTGCTATACTTTCAATATTGTGGGGTTATGCGTAATTTCATTTAATGAGGATACAACTGTTCGATCAATACTGTTGTTATATAACAGAAAATCTTTTGATTCAGTTGAAATTTGTATCACGGCTGTTGTTGGATTAGAAAGTTTGAACCCCGCTAAAAGAAAAAGATATAAAAAAGTTACGTCAAAGGTAATACTATAAGATGAACCGGCCGCCTACTTCACACTCAAAACAAATAACATCCTCATTTTTTAAAGTTTCATCCAGCATTTTACCAAAAGCTTGCTCATTGTCAACTTTAACAAGTGGTGGCAGACAGAATGGAGGATGAAAAATTTCTTCCATGAACTTATCAAAAACTGAGGTACAAATCAAATATGTTAGACACCACAACGGGCGTGTACAAATATTAAGCATTGAGACGCAACAGAGCACGTCTTTAGCTCTGTGAACACTAACTAGAGTTAGATACAGTTTTATTGTTAGTGAGAACCACGACACTTCTGCGAATCGACTCTTCCGCGAATTTTTCATAATACAAATTTAGGTATTTCTGGCAACTTGTGGTGCGTTCAGTAATATCCGTTGTTTTATTAATTTTCCCAAGTTAGTTTTTTTTACATCTATTTACAAAAATTCGTGGAAAAGTCGGAGTTCTGTTAGCGGAGTAGTCGGTGAATCAGTGACAACAGTCCGTAGTTTTCGACTACCGCTCTTTTCTCCTTTTATGAGTCAACGTTTTACACTGATTTATAACTAAAAAGGTCAGAGTTCTTATGGGTATATACAAACCATTAACAGACTCATCACAGTGGCAAGCAATAAACTTAGTTGTAATCATCGATCGACTAATACATATAAATTATCTCAACATTCACAAATTCTTCAATTAATCGTTTTATTTAAACACAGCATAATATAGAAAAATAGTAAACTTATGAAAGTATTTTCATTTCACTGACAAATATAAAAATAAGCAAAATAATTAACAACACAACACGAAAAATGCTACATAATGAGTTTTTCACGAATAAAGAAAACGATGGCAAATCACAAAAATTTAAACTTAGAAAAAGACAACCAGACTGTTGGAATTGAATTAATTGTTTGTTACACTGTTGGAAACAAACAATTAATTCAATAATATCTTCGTTAGCACAATAATCGTAGTGTTTGCTTAAAGTTAAAATAAGAATATGAAATATATTCAGCCGTGGTTACAGAATACGTTTTAATTACCATTTATCACCTATTCTGTTGTGTAAATCACAGTCGATGAACTTTTATGATTAATTACTGTTTGTAAACAGCGTTGAACAGCCTGAAGATAACCAAAGTAAAAGAATTATGTCAAAAAAATTGAATGAAGCATAATACTTACATATAGTTGGTACATATTGTTGTGTAAGTGTTTTTTTCTCTTCAATTTTTTCTACTAAATTTCTGTCATAAAGCACTCCATCAGAGAAACGATCAATCTTTAGAAAATAACCACTTAAGCCTCCCTTCCCCAAATCAGAAACGCATCTTGATAACCGTGAGTTAGATTTCAACCAGAGTTTCAGGCAATGTTGGCCTTATGATTGTACTTTTTCTGTAAAATGTTTGCGAAGTCATCTATCAGCGTTTAAGAGATGCTGCTCTAGGGGTCAAAATGCGGCTGTTCGCTGATGCAAGATTTCTCGGTAACGAAATACCTCGAAGAGCTCGAGAAGGTCTTAAAATGACGAAAACACACGTGACTAGAGGATAATGGAGCCAGATTTTTGATATTTTACTTTCACAACTAATGGTAACCGCCAAAAGGCAAAAATCCAAAGCGGTCTCATTAACTTGCATAAAGATGTTTGTCTGACCACGAGTCTAAACCAAAAATAGAAAATCGAGCTCTATTAGCTTCTAAGCACATGTGTCTCCAACATTTTAAGACATTCTAGAACTCTTCAAGATGTTTCGTTACAGAGAAACCTGTTGTTATGGAAAATGGATGAAAATGATATAGCAGAACAACCCAAGCAAATGTCACCTACGGGAAAAATCCAGATACATTTCGTCTGTAATCGGACGATACACGACTAGTTGCCATCTAGATTACTAGTTGCAGTATCTCTATTTTATGATTTCGATACTCTTGTTTGAACTGTAATAGTTTGAACAAACGTTCAAACTGATAATATATTGATCACAGTACTAACTCTTTTCAAATTCTAGCATTATACACTCAGACATTTACCAAAATACTTTACACTGACTTTATGAATGTTTCAAGTCTAGTGTAAAAAGAAATACTGTCATACGGTTAAGGATGAGGATATCAACTCGTCTGAAATTGCAGGGCGGTTGATGTTGGTTCTGCTGATTTTGCAAATTATTCTGACTGCAACATGATTTAAATATTCAACGCCCAAAATGTTGTTGTTGTCGTTAAAAATGTCCGTGTATAAGAATTTATTTTCTGTTATTTTTACTCGGCACCTAATAGAGATACAATAATGTTCGTTTAAAAGCGAAACTACTAATTTATAATATTTGAATGAATCCAGTGACATTTAACGGAAATCATATTTCTTATATTTCGCTGCGAGACATATACATACCTCCAATGAACTGATGGCTCATCTTGTGTCGTAGTATATCAACTGGCACTCAAAATCTAAAAACATGTTTGGCGAAAAATGGTCTGCGTATTCGAGTTCTCCATTGTCAAGTATTTTGGACAGCGCATATTTTTTGTAGAATTCCTGCGAGATTTTGACCAAAAAAAGTTTAAAAAAAATTCTTCAGAACGCCACTCGAATCTTGGTACGTGAAAGTAATAATACATATATCATTTACCAACCAAGTATTAATCATAACGGCGTCTTGATTCCGTTTCTCCAAAAACAAACACATCACATATCAAGAAAACATAACAAGAAATCCATCTAGTGTTGATACGTAGAAAAATAACACACACAGATATACATTCAAATCAGTATGAGTAAGAATACTGGCGCTATTATCAACAAAAGATAAGCGGTTTTTCGCTACTTAGATGAAATACAAAATAATTATATGCAAATGTAGAAGGAATAGCAGCAGCAACAGCAAGACCAAAAAAACTTTACTTACTAAACAAAACAAATAAGGTTGTCGTTGAATTTTCGCTATTATTTATTTGTGCAGAAAACTTCTTCTAAATAAAGAAAGAGATGAAGTATAAGGAAGGACGTTGCATGTACTGCAGTTAAAGATTCGTGAAGGTGGCAAAGTGTTATTGTATTTAATACACTCTGCCCTTTCCTGAAATGGAAGGTGTACCAGTAAAGCGCGTGATTCTCGTTTTCTAATCTTGATCTCAAACTGTCATGTCACCTGTAGCCCCATAAACAAGTTTTCATTTTCTGGAGGGAGAGAAAGCCGTTGTCGAAAAGATATGACGTAACGACATAACAAGTCTCGATCATGGAACAGTACATCATATACAGAGGCAACAGCAATTGCAGAAGTGTTGGAAAAAGTTCCATATGTAAAATGACAGGAATTTAAGTACATGAATAAGTCTGTGAGATGAAGCAAGAAAGCCTCCTGCTGCTCAGGCTCTCATTGTCCACCACTTTCAGCAAAAGTTTTGATAGTATTTAACAGTCCACCTTTCGGTCGTAAAATCTGTTTGGGCAAAACGTGTTCCTTAAACTTCTAATGCTTATATTATCGACACAAGGCAGCGCAAAGAGAAGTCTTTTGACTAAAATGTGGAGTTTTCGCAGATTAGTCCAAAAACTTCTCTTCTGAGAAGAGAAAGAGGTATTGTATCGCAAAAGGAGCAATAATTATATTTTTGTATTTATTCGTCCTTAGAACAGCTTTTTCTTCATTTGTTCTTGTTACACCCTTTTTTGCATATAGCGAACAGGAAAACAGCTTCAGAAAATGCAGGATAATCTTTATCCAAGTATTGTATAGATCGAATATGAAAACAAAAACTATTTATCAATCGTTTACAGTAACAGTATAAAAGTTTCAATAGATAAAGCAGATTTGTCTTTGTTATCTCTACGTCTACCTCTGGAAATGGCAGTAAAGCTTCTTTATCTATTTTAGAAGCTTTAACTGATATGGTATATCATCTAATTACAATATATTATATTTTTGATATTGGGCTCACAAAACAGACACGTTCAATGTGTGAACTATTCCATTTTTATATGCCTAGTGATTTTAGATCTTTAAAATTCAGATTTTTGCGTGAACCAACGTTCTACCTGAGAATGACCTTTGAGCATCCCAAAGGCCGTAGGGACGAGGCGTAGCATGAGAGTCAGTCACCACATAAAATTTCATTTTCAGTGCTTTGTGGACGAATGTGCAATCATTAGATTGTAGTAAAGGTAGTCAAATTGCACGTCGCATAGATTGTTCCATTCTAGAATCACTTTAAGAAAAGAACGAATCCTTGTTTAATACAGCCATAAGTATCCTCAAAACTAAAAATTAAATTTTACGGGGCGACTCAGTCTCATGCTACACCATCCTCCTACCGCTCTTTAGATGCTGAAAGGCCTTTATCAGCTTTCTATAGAACCTTTAAAGGACTAAACAATTTTTTGTATAAAATAGATATTTTGCTTATTGTTCTATTTCAGACCTAGTACTTGATGCTTATCTGAACTTTTCTCAAACCTCTGAGACCGAAGAACCGAAACTAATCAGACTCTAACCTGTTAGTTATTCCAAGTCATTGTCCAAATCGATATCTGCAATGGGCGCACGATCATCTAACATCCGTAAATATCTGATTATCTAAGGGCAGACACGGATCAACAAAAGAAGCTCATCCTGCTTGCGGGTGAGAGCATAGTAAAAGAGAAAAGTAACCTGGTCTCCTTTAAAATATGATCCGTTTTTCCACCCAGTTGAGATCTACTCCTTTCTTATCTCTTTTTATCTATGAGAAAGCGTCGATGAAAAGCTTCTCATTTAGCCATTCTCCTTTAGAGAACTAGTATCTTTTTTCATGTGTTATCAGATTTGTTTGATCTTGGAAGATTATATTCTTTTTTCCGATCAGTCTTGGAGCGGAGTTTTGAAGACGAACTGTCTTTAAAATAAACGAAGTATATCTGAAAGCTGTCTGCTGAACGAGATGCCGCTTGACCTGGCTTATACGTCTGACGTTTAATCTAAGCATTTATTAGAGATCAATCGCCTGGGCATTATAGATCTCGATTCCCAATATAGTGAATACAAAAAGCAAACAAGAGAGAATGATAAAAAGGATATAAAAGTTACACAAAAAGGAA